GGCCGTCGGCCGGTGTGTTCTCGCCGCTCGAACGCTCCGCGCTCCGAAACCAATGATGCGGGAGCTTGGAAGCTCCCTCGGGCGCACAGGTCGGATGAAACGGGGAGTCGGAATCCCCGGGCGGTTACTACATTTGTACATTATACAAGATTGTCTTTAATTGCTCCGTTCATTGTCCCATGTCCTTTGTAACCACCCCAGGGCCAGTTTACCCAACTCAGACCCATTTAGGGTAATCAAATACATCTAACTCATCTACAAAAGCAACCGTATCAATGTCCCCTTTTCAATGCGCATTTGTCCTTGTGCCCATGCCTGCTATGTGAGGATTGTTGGTGTGGGGCTCCTGCCCTCTTTGAGCTGCGAACCCGCCTCGCCGGGCACCTAGGTCTTTACGGGGACCTAGGCGGGACCACCCCAACTTATTTCCATATTTTATAAGGTTGGGGATATATTACTCTACCTTGGGCAGGGCGTCCCCCACACCAAGGGGTCATTAGTAGGGCGTCCCCCACATCAGGCCGGTGTGCATAACAACGCCCTTGTTCCATTCATATTATTCTTGTCTTCACAGCATTGCAGGACGCATGGCAAAATGTGTTTCAAAATGGAAATCAGGTGATGGTGGTGGGGTGGGGGTGTGGGGGGCGCAAAAAAGCAGGTCTGTTGGGGGGAGGTGCTCAGTCACCAGTGCCTTGTGGCAGCTGCCACCAGTTTGCTTGGGATTTTCTTGCTTGTTGTTCTGTGTATTGTGTTGTGCGCCACTGCACAGGAACGCACTAAACGCCGGATGCAAAACCACAGCATAGTGAAACGGAAGCTCAAACGCATTCCACGGTTGCGGCCATTTTCATCCCGAAGGACCCCGAGCCCAAATCCGTTTCGTCCACTCGTCTCCGATCGTGTCTGCAAATATCTGAAAAGATCTCAAATTTCTGGTTCAGTAGACGCTCAGGAGTTCTTGCGACGTCGGTGACTCACACCGCCGTTGCTGTCAAGCATTTTGCTGCCAGTTCCGCAGCCCCTCAATGGGCATCATGTCTTTCTCCTCTGGACGCGCGGCTGAGCTGTGTGCAGGATGCTGGCACACCCTGCTGTTGGGCAGCCGGCAACCTCGTGCAACCATTCACCTGCGCGGTTTTGCTTCTGGTGTTGAGCGTCGTTGGCGGCGACATTGCTGACAGCACACGCTGGATCCATTACCGGTCGATCCCAGTCATCATCAGATGCCGCGACGGGTGGTGTAGATCGCCGACGCGGCCACCAGCGGGGAAGGCAGTCTCGTGGCCCCGGTTCCTGCTAGTAGGCCTTGCCGGTCGCCTCTTCACGTGCCCTTTAGGGCGCAGAGCATGTTGGCAACGCAGTTGGTGCCCGCCACTTGTCGATTTCGCTCACTGGAACTTGGCGGTCGTTGAATACTCACGTAAGAACTGGCGCTTAAGTGCCATCAGAACGTCTCCAACAGAAAACAGTGCCGTACCAAGCTCTGTGCACCCAGTACTTTGTCGCACGGCACCAAGAACACACTAGCGCCCAGTTTCTGTGACCTGACATATGCAAAGACAGCCTAGCTTACAAGTTTCAGCAAAGGCCTGATGGAATCAAGCAGATCCCGCATATTCGCCACAACAGACACTGGGAAATGGATGCATATCAATATTATACCACATAGATAAGCATTTCAACACAAGGCAACATGAAAAACAAGAAATTGCCCCCGGTTGTCAGGTCACAACATGGCCACCTCCACAAGCTCCTCGCAAATGCGATGAAGGAGGAGCAGCCAGGAAATTTTGCTCATGGTGCCGGGGATACAATCCCAACTAATGCTCCGCTGCTCGACCTGACCACTCCAAAAGGGCAAAAAGTATTCATTCACTCCACGCAATTCAATTCCCACCATTCGAAACTCCAGAGCGATTTCCCACGTCACAACCCTGGTGGAGCACACATGCAGACAATGCATTGAACCTCAACGCCCCCACAGGCTCCAAAAGCTCCAAATGCAACGCCACCATCAACGAGCCAAATACCACCCAGTGCGCCCAATTCTAGGCTCGCCAGACTCGCGTCCATGCCCAAGTTACCACAATTCAGCCAATTTGCCATAAACGTGGACGGTACCCGTCCTTGCGTCTTTTCATGAATACTGGATTAAAAAAATGCTGCTGAGAGTACACTATTGGGTCAACTTCCAATGAGCCGCATCCAACTGATACCCGATTGTAAGCAAGTTGATTAGGTCAAAACAGACAGAAATAATGGGAAAATTTGCAGGGCATTATACTCCCATCTACAGTTTCGCAACCTTGTGGTACGCAGCAGGGCCCAGGATGTGGAAGCATTATTGCCAGCACAGTCGCGCCGCGCCGTATGCCGAAAAAAATGATGGTGTAAAACACATTGAAAAACCGCTGAAGAGGTAATGCTTCGCGGCGCCCGTGACCGCCACTGCAAGCAAGGTGGTAAAGCGCCCAACACCTCACCGCCAATCTGGACCAGTGCCGCTTTTGCTCTTTCGCCACGACTGCCATGCACCACCAAGAAGGAGTGGGCGATGTGAGCAGAGTAGTCCACAGCAATACCCACAGCCAGAACCATGTTGAGGGCTGCGACGGTGTTGATCTGCAGGTCCACGTAGTACATCCAGGCTAAGCTGTAAACACAGGAACTGAACTACGAAAGGATGCAGATATCGCTGGTGTCAACGGTACCAGAATTTTACTGTTTGTACCCGCCTATACGCGAGTACGTACCCGGACCCGCACACCCGGTTACAGAGGTTTTAAGGGATCCAGGTAGGTACGTACAAGAAAAACCCAGTACCCAGCCCAGATACCCAGGTTTCAGGGTACCTGGGTACAATCCCTACTAACAGTTGTCCAAACATGACCATGTGACTAAAGATAACTACAACAGCTAAGTACTGGTGCTGAAAGGCACACTTATCGAAATCTACGCATTCACTTCAAAGCACTGACGCTTTCATGTGCTTTATCAGTACAATTTCAACTAAATATATGATTGACCGGATTGGCATGCATGATTCGGTGCACGCACTTTGAACATCTCACCACTGCTTTTCCTCTCAACTTCGTAAAGGAGCATGCCACCAGTACATTCACAAGCATGCACATACCACAATTGTAATAAATGAATATGCAAAGAAATTACACAGTGTACCAAACAAGTAACAGAAACAATGATAGTGCGGCTGTGCAAACAGCTACAGACAAGCCGTTGCCCTGAATTGATGTATAGCGAGCTGCGGCTCCTCAATGCCACAAAAGGCATGTAATTATTGCTTTTTCTGGTGCACTTCCAACTTGGCATCAGCACAGCACTGGCATCCATCAGTGGGTGGAAGAGGACAACCGCACGTGCACGTTGACAATTGTGCCCACTGAACATTCATGTTGGGAAAGCAGAACCTCACCAAACAGCATGATGTCGCCCTATATCGCATCCAAGGTGCCAGGCAATGTTTTGTCAAGTTCAAATGACGAATGCAATCAAAGGATTTGAGCATGATGGCTTGGCCGCTACCATGCCTAGCACCATCACAGCCACGAGCACAGGACAAATAGGTCGAACTTCACCTGGAAGAGCTGTGCAAGGCCGAAGGCGGTGACGATGGTCATTAAGACTGGACAACAACATTAAGGGACACCAAGAGGTGTTAGTGCTCAAAGGCCATACACAAACGCACAATGACAAATGACGAATGTCCATGGCCGCAAGCTTTCTTTGCAGCAACCATCTGTAGAAATGCCTCAAGCATGGTCTAGTATCTTACTGTATTCGGCAGCTGAAGTCCGCCACATCACATATTAAGTTTGAAAAACATTGCCAACCGCTCGTTTTCAGACTCCTGAAGTGCCCATTTTCTTGAGTGTCTTGTTGTGTGCGACTTACCCCAAAAAAGTTCATTTTTGGCTGCCAGGAAAGTGCCTGCCATTTCCCAAAAATAAATATTCAACAATCAATATTGATTTACCTTTCCCTTGTTCTTTAAGCCCTACGGCAATGATTCTGTGTTGCATGTACAAGGTCATTCCACAACTTCTCCCATCATGTACAGAACATCCTATACTATCCATACGCCCAATTGTTCTGTAATTCATTTTCCGCATTTATCTGCCATCCAAGGTGGTTCCTTGCTTTTGGCCCCATTTAGCGGCTGTCCATGCTGATTGTTGACGGGTCTATAGTGTTGTGTCACCCAATCAGCCGCCATTTGTGGTTCACGAGCCAGTCATCGAATGACGCGACCCAGTGCCAAACAACGAATCTAACAAAATCACAAATGCCACACGTGGACAAGAGCCACCAGTAGCGAATTGCGAGCATTTTGCTCCGTGGGACAAGAATACTGTGGTGGGCCTGCGCTCCCTCTCGTAGCGTGCGCCCACGTAGCGTGCACCCACGTAGCGTGCACCGAAAAGGTCGGGGTTCTGCTCCCGCCCCCGCTGACCAAGCACCCTCTCCCGCTGCGCCCAGCCACTCACATCACCACACGCGCAGCACACCTCCCGCCACTAGATGTGCCGATGCGGCCGCCCGGGGGCGCACTCGTGAGGGCTGTTCAATCCTTGGCAACGGCGGATGCCAGACCGGTCGTGATCGTGGGCGCAGGTCCCACGGGCCTGACGCTCGCCCTCCTGCTCGACCAGATGGGCATCCCTACCACCCTCATCGACAAGAATGCGGTCCCGGGCGCGCATCCCCAGGCCCACTTCATATCACCCCGGACGATGGAAATTTTCCGGCCGCTTGGGGGCCTGGCGAGCGAGGTCGCATCAGCCTCCCCTCCGATCAACGAATGGCGGCGATTCGTGTATTGCGATGCGGCTGCGGGGTCCGTGTACGGTGAGGTAGACCATTTCAGGGATGGCGCTTGTTCAATGTCGCGGATCTCGCCCGAGAACCCTGTGCACCTGTCGCAGCATCGGCTGATTCCCAAGTTGCTGGCCCGGCTGGAAGGCTCGGGGGTGGAAAGGATGTTTGGGGAGGAGGCGGTGGCCGTGGAGACGCCGGCGGGAGGTGGGGTGGTTGTCCGAACGCGGAGGTTGGCCCGTGGGGCGTACTGTGTCCTCGCGGACGGCGCCAACAGTCGCCTGCGGAGAGGCATGGGGGTCCAAATGGTGGGAGGTGGTGTGATCCAGCACCTGGTCAGCATGCATTTCAGGTGGGTTGGGCGCCGTACATTGCAGCAGCATCCATGCCCCAAAAACAATTTGTTTTGCATGTTGCAAGGCCGGACACCCGGGCGTGTTGCGCACTTACGGTCCTCTAATTAACCCGGCTAGATGATGTACCACCATCGCCAGTGTGTTCGCATTTGAATAGTCACGACCCCCTGACGGGCCGTTTCCTTGTTCTTGCATTCCAGAAAGATTATCCATCAGCGAAGCACGTCATCAAGCTGTCAATAGCAATTTAATCGACCAATACTTTATGCTGCTCACGTTGCCACAGTTGCCCAAACTGGCGGTTAACCTGGTATGTGGTCAGCAGCTTCAGTCCATTCACATAGGCCGAAAAGTGGAATAGGATTGACCGCTTCTGTAGTAATGCAGGCGTGTTTCGTTCTCTGAAATTAGAGTTAGAGAAAAGTGGCTCAGTGACGAGGACGTGGCAGAAATGTTAGGCAAGCAGATGTGAATGTAGGAACACGCAGTGATCGTTGGGCGCACAATTGACCAAATTCCGAGGCACCCAAATGGTAGGCAACAGCAGCCCCAGCGCTGGCTTCTGCCTGTGGAGATAGCAGACCGCCATAATTTTCCCCATTTTCTTGAAGGCGAAGCACAGTTTTCTCAATGGAAGTGCTGCGTGCAACCGAAGTAGTTGTGAAGTGACGATTTCCATCGGATCCACAACCGTACGTGCGACTGTGAGACTTGTGCTGTTCGGATTAAAAGATGCCACTTCTTCAGGTCACCCACACTCGCGAAGATAATCTCTCGAAGACCAGGGATGCTGTACTTCGTGTGCGGTCCAGAAGCTGTTGTAACTCTCGTCGTCCACAGTCTCAAGGAAGCCGAATTTGTTGCCCAGATACCCTTTTTTCCTCCACTTCAGTCGCTGGCGGACTTCTCCCCAGAGGTGTGCCGCAATTTGGTGGAAGCCGCAGCTGGGGCGCCGTGTCATGATGTTGATATTCGCGATCTTCGGACGTGGGGCATGCGGGCCCAGGTAGCTGAAAAATTCAGTGTGGGAAACAGGTATGCGGCTCAGCGTGTTGATGTGCATCAATTCAATATCGTCGCCAACGTGGCCCGGTGCATGAGTTTTGGTGCTGATAGCCAAATCATGTTTAAAAAATTGCCGTTGGACGGGTTGGTGAGTGTGCACTTAGCATATTCATGTTGGCAGGCTGGTGAGCGGGTTAGGTTGCCTTTTTGCTACTTTTTAGGTCCGAACGTCGGACAGCTGTGACAGCCTATGTTTTCTGAGTGCCATGCCATCACCAGCGAGAAAGCACATGACGCAACTTCATTGCAACGACTCACTATCTGCGACAGTGATACCAATGCTCCAACGGCTACATGCGGCACTCTCTTAGTGCGCACATCATCAATTGGATGTAGTTTCATATGCTTATATCACGTGATCAGGTGTCTTGGCCCGTATCATGTTCCTGGCTGAGCGGATTACAGAACAAATCACTGCCAAAACGACTGATGCCACCAGGGTGTTTTTGATGGGGGATGCTGCGCACGTCTTTCCGCCAGCAGGCGGATTTGGCATGAACACCGGCATTCATGACGCGCACAACCTGGCGTGGAAGCTGGCGGCGGTTCTCAAGGGCGTTGCTGGTGAGGACCTTCTGGCGACTTACGAGCAGGAACGGAAACCAATAGCAGAAAACAACGCTGCCGTCAGCGTGGCCAACTGGGAGGATGCCATTCGAGTTCCCGCAGCTTTGGGGCTGGACCCATCATCGGCAGCTCTGCTGAACCACTTTGCTTCAGGCGAGTGAGCTCAACTCTCAAAGTAGCTATACATTATGAAACTGCTCGATTTCGTAACTCCGTTAGCGTGTCTTGTGAAACATGAGGCCCTGGCGAGCACTATGTTCGTATTTTCTCAAGACGTAGAGATGATGTATGCTGTGCCAACAATCTGAAGAGCTGCGCCGCACCTTGAAGTAAGTTGTTTTGTTGCATAGTGGCCAGCTGCATTCAACGCATGTTTCGTTGGCAGGTTCATTTTTCGTGCGATTGATGATACTTTGGTGGCGGAAATCCATCAGTAAAAGAATGCCGCTTGCGACATGAAATATCAGCTGCATTGACGGTACTTTATGAACCGCAAATGTGTTCAGTTCAGGCCAGCCGGGGGTCGCTATTGAATGAATCTTAATTTGTCAAGTTTGGCCACAGGGGTGGCCGCAAAATGTTTACCTGCCGGCGCGGCCAAGGGCCTCTTAAATTTAGGTCTCTTCATTGGACGGCGGGCCTCAGGGCTGCATGGCCCAATGACCCACTGGCGCCGCCAGCAGCTCACTTCGATATTTGAATCGGGAAAGTCGCTCCGGCTCCTTTATCCTAATGAGGATCTTGCATATCGCTACGAAAGCAACGCCGTACTGGAAGAAAGCATCAAGGGGCGTTCGGAGGGCGCTCCCAGCCGATCGGCGCCTTTCGTGCCGGCCACCCGCCTCGGAGTTCGGCTCCCTCACTGTCCGCTTCTGATGCGCCGTCCAGCACCACAGGCTGCGAGGACGCCTGGAACATCGGATGTCACGGTGCGATCCGACATTGAGCTGAACTCGTAGCATGAATGTTGACGTGCTGACACTGAAGCATTTCCGTGAAGGGCGGAAACAGGATGAAGTCAAATTGAGGAGCAGTTGTGTAGAGAACGCTGCAGCATGCTACAGGCTGGCTTGTCTGCGGCTTGTCTTTGGTTTAAGCTTATTGCGGTACTGATCATCTTCCTAAACGATACCCAGTTCCATCGCTGAAGTCAGGTCACGCACAGCTCTTACTGATCTGCACTAATCCTCTCAAGAATTTCAGCATCAGGATTGACGGAGCTGCAGGCCAACAACATTACTAACCTAAAATATGGTCATGAAGGTATGCGGAGAGGCGAGGCCAGCGGAGGTGTCCACCCTCGATCTTGTGCCATCCAAAGATGTCGCAATGCTCTTGCTGGTGGGCGACGATGTATCAGACGGATCGTGGGCCCAGGCAGCGGTTGATCTCCAGAGGCGAGGGCACCGCTTGCAGATTGCTCGAGTTTGCATGGGCGCCGCCGATGTTGGGACCAAGCCCCTTCAGCGAAGCTCAAGACACTGCAGTGCGCCGGTCAGTGCAAGTGGCAACACACAGACATTGATCATTGATCATGCCGCCGTTGCGAAAGGGTATGCAGGAAACGTGCTCAGAGGTGTAGATGTGGCGGAGGATGCTGAGGGTCGATGGAATGATGTAAGGGGTGTTGGTGATGACGGCGCCGTGATGGTGCGGCCTGATGGGCACGTGTGCTGGATGAGTTCGGGGCGGCCGGAAAGAGATGGATGTGCAGAGTTGCTCTGGGTCCTGAACAAGGCTTTCTGCAGGTCAGTAGGCAACGCTGATTGATGCACTTGTTACATTACGATAAGAGGTAAAAATTACGAAATGAAAGATGTTTTAACGAAGCTGGCCAAATAATACCGAATTCACACGAAATTGATGCGTGCCTAAATCTTGCCAAGCAGCAGATACTGCTGTGTCTATGATGGACCAGGTGTGGGATTATCGCAGGTGCGGCATAATGGTAGCTGCATTCAGCCATTCTTCATGAGTGTGTTGTGTGCATACAGAAGGTTGCCCTATGGATTTTCGTCTTTGCACGCAGATGAAGGAATCTTGATATCCTTTGTGGGATGGCTTTTTCTTCAGCGACCAACGTATCCTGTTGGCAGAAATTTTGTTGATCGAAGCAAACAATTTTTCAGTATCTGTCCAAGATTTGGCCTAGTGCTGCATTTCTGAGTATGCGTGGTTATCAACGGATTAATGAACGTCCTCACTCATTGACCCATTGAAATTGAATTCGTCCTTCCCACGTGGGACATGGTTGCATTTGAAGTCTGGTGTCATAGCACACATGTAACTTAGTTGCAAGAGCTTAATCGGTGCACGATGAGTGTTACCTCTGAATCACTTGGAAGAAAAAAAGGCACCCGAGCTTCAAGGACGCATTGCTGGCTTCCGCGCACATGTTGCACTTTCAGAAGCTAAAGGACCTGGTTCGGTAGAACAAGGCGCAATCTCTAGGTCAAAAGAAGGTTAGACGGACCGCGTTCAAGGAAACCAAGGCTGAGCTTCGAGTCCACCTGCCACCCCAAGTCCTACAAATGCTAATCAGCCTTTTGTTTTGCAATCGTGGCCCTCAAGTCGATAGCAAGCAATTCCAAATATTCTGACGTTTTATGCGCAATATATGCGCAATCTCAGAATCAGTTCATGCACTCCTTTTCAAGTCGCCAGAAATTAGACAACTCAGAAAGAGAAACGCTTTTCACCATGTTCGTTTCCAATTACAAATCCACAGGCAAGCTGCTGCATATGTAGATGCACAACACGTGCGGTTGTGTTTTAATGTGTCACAAGGGAGTTCATGCGTGAAATTCATTTTGAAACCAGGCCCTTTGCCAAATCAAATTGTCCAATCATTCGAACAAAAGCATGCAAATTGGTTCTAGCGATGGTCGACTCCTTGCCGTGAAATTCCAAGGAAGCGCATTCAGACCTCGAGTTCGCTAGTGTGACTTTTCATATTCAAGTATTGTCCTGAAATATTACTATGATTTGGATGCCCAATCATCGAATCGTTCTTATCACAAAATGTGGAATTCAAATTGAATAAGGTAAGGATGTGTAGACATCCATGAAGAGGAGCTGCGTCAATGTGCGGCTGTTGATACTGGATGTCTAGAAGAACATCAGTGAAACGTAGAGACAATAATTTGCTAATGTCCCTGAGCAAAGTCATGGACACTCGGATGGATAAATTAAGCAGGCTAAGCACTCAATAAAGCAGAGCAGATCATGCTCCCGACACTGTAAGTGCAACCTCCAATTGCCAAAAAATGTTTAAGATGTAACGGTTTCTCAAAGTTTGCCAACATAGCACAATTATAGTGCCACACTGTCCCACACTGTCCCGTACTGTCCCACACAGTCCCGCACTGTCCCACACTGTCCAACACTGTCCCACAATATACCACG